TCCCAAGATGCTGCAAGTATGCCATTACCACAGCTTGTTAGCCAAGCTGCAGGGCTGGACAGACAGAGACAGGGTCCAAAGAATCCAGCATCAAGACTAGGAAGACCTTAGATTCTCTCTGGAGCTCTGCCCTAAGTTGTGACTGTCAGTTGGGTCAATTCGTTGTTAAAGATCTTAACTGTCTCAGTCATTAAAATGAAGGTGCTCATATAAATAGTTGCTAATATTATTCCCAACATTAAAAGGTTTTACTTACAACTCTCCAAGACCACTCTACCTACTATGATAAAAAGTCCAACTTTTCAGGCCAGATAATGAAATATATCAATTTGGCCCCAACCACTCTATCTCTTCTCCACTCCCCTCCTATGTGAACCAAGCTAGTCTATTTCTTTCTTTTTTTTTTTTTTTTAAGATCTGCACCTCTCTGCCCAACCTCTCTTCCTGGAAAAGATGGTCATTCTTCAGGATCTATCTACTTAACTGAGCCCTACTCATCCCTGAAAAGGGTCCTTATGTGGTGCTGTAGGATAGGCACTAAACTGTTAACCTCATGGTTGGCAATTCAAACCCACCAGCCAATCCTCAGAAATTTTAAACAGGTTGCTATGAGACAGGCCATTTGAACTGCAAGGTCAGCAGTTCAAGCTCACTAGCTGTTTCTCGGAAACCCTATATAGGGTTGCTATGGGTCAGAACCGACTCGATAGCACTTAACCACAGCAACAACATCTTTGAAAGGAACCCTGGTGGCACAATAATTAAGCACTGAAAACCAAAAGGGCTGTTCAAACTCATCAGTCACTCTGTGGGAGAAAATACCTGGCGATCTGTTCCCATATAGATTACACCCTAGAAACCCCGATGGGGCACTTCCGCTCTGTCCTCAGAGTTGCTATGAGTTGGAATCTCATAGGCACACAATACCCACCCTTCAAGTTTAAGCTATAGGGTTGCTATAAGTTCGAACCTACTCAACAGCTGTGTTTGAGGTTTGTACTAAGCACTGTGCTAATAATCCGTCCTCTGGAAACAGAACTATAAACACCTTAAAAAGGGTTGTGAAAAGGTAGCGAATTGAGAGCGAAAAAGGAGGGGAGGTGGGGCAGGGCAAATTAGTCTTGCTAAGACCTAAGTGTTATCCAAGCTGACAGCAAGGAAAGGTTAAGGGGAGATTCGGTGTGTGAAGAAGCCCTGTGTAGGACAGAACTGAGCTTTTGTCAAAGCAGCGCTGCACAGTGGGCAAGAACATGGCCCGATGGCCTCATTCATCACTCACTAGCCATGGGATCCTGGGCAAGTTCCATAAACCCCTCTGAAGTGAGGCTTTCCCATTTGCCATCTGGAGACAATAATAGTACCCACATCTGGTATTGTTAAGAGGGGCTAGTTGGTTGACATTCCTAAGGTGTTTAGAATAGTGCCTGATGCATATAGTATGTGCTGTATGTGAAATACGTAGGTCTGTTTATTTAAGGCCAGTGAGGCTACATGGAAGGAAAGAGGTCAGAAATAACCCTTGAATGGTTAAAAGATGACTCAGGAACACATAAAACCCACTGCCGTCTGATTCCTACTCATACCGACTTTGCGTCAGGACCACGTAGATAGCAAGAATTCTGAACTTTATCTTACGGTTCTTATTTAGTGCCATATAGAGTAGGTTCCAACTCATAATAACCCTGTACAGGGTTTCTGAGGAGCAGCTGGTGGATTTGAACCGCCGACCTTGTGGTTCAAACCAACCTAAGTATCCTACAGCACCACACCAGGTCCTAACCGTGGTGAAAAGATTCCTTTCTATGGTCTTTGGCCTTAGGAACCCTGGTAATGCACTACTTAAGCATTCAGCTAACTCAAAAGTTGGGAGCTTAAACCCACCAGGTTGCTTGCTCAGTAGAAAATGAGGCAACCTGGGTTGTTTGGTAAAAGTAGCTTGAGATTCTGCTCCCATCCCCACCCACACCCTAAACCCTGGAAGTCGGAGTTACCTTTGTCCTAACTTTCTACCCTAGAGGATCTGTTACTTTTGTCTAGGGTAATTGGTTTTGATACTTTTTGGTTGGTACTGGACTGCAGCCTGCCTTGTGATTGATATGTACCACGCAGGGATTGGTCAATAGACTATGCAAATGAGGTGACTATAACCTACAATGCAAATGAAGTGTCTGTGGCCTACTGAGAGAAGCCTGGCCAGTTTGAGCCCAGCTGGGAGGGGCTACACTTAGAAATTGACAAGGAGTTACACATGTAAGCAGTCAACCCCACAGAAGTTTTTCAGGAAGCAAGGAGCAGAAAAAAAAAAAAAAAAAAAAAAAAACAGAAGGAAAAAGAAGCAAAGAGAGCGGAGGCAAGAAACCTCTTAAGGGAGCTGTAACTCAGATCAAGAGTTGTAACTTTAAAGACCATGAAAGGCCCAAAAGGAATCCATGGTAGAACCACCCTACAGCAGGGTTGGTGGTGGCAGATGGCAGGGCCAAGAGGAGACCTGCACTGCCAAGATGAACCGAGACAACTGTCTAGTCCTGAAGGAGGGAAAGACAGACTTTGCCTGTTTGCTTCCTGAATTATACCCTGTTGCTTCTTTAATAAACTATTTAACTGTAAGTATGATCCGTGAGTTCTGCGTGGTCATTGCAACAGACTCTCAAACGCAGAAAGGAGTGCTATGGGAGGTACAGCTGGTGTTAGAATTGGTAAACAGATCAGAAAATGGAGGCTGTCTGACACATCTCAAAGAGCTCAGTCTTGGGCTGATTTTAATTCATATTGTTCTAACTGATATTATTATTACCAGCACTCAAAGTTCACACAAGCAACTGAGCCAGGGAGCTTCTGCAAGGCCTGCCCATCCCTGCCACCATTGTCTCCCTTTTATTCAGAAATTTTGTAGCATTTATGTCTTCTATGTCCCAGGGACGTCTTTAATCAAATGACTCTTCTTGATAAATACATTCTATCTTACTGAGACATAATCATCAACCAAGTCAACATACTTACTCAATAGTGGTTACAATTGAATGGTGGGTAGGTAATGGGAGCAATGAAAGGGAACCCTAAGGATTCTGGGGTATTGGTAACATTCTGTTTCTTGACCTGAGTGCTGCAAATATTCATTCAGCTGTAGATGTAAGATCTGTATTATTTCTGTATTTTATGCTTCAATAAAGAGGCTAAAAATACGTTTTCAGAAATTAACAGCAAATTAATCCAAGTGAAGGAAAAAAAAAAAAAGACTCTTATATTTACATTGTCATAACAAAAAAAAAATGCTTAGCTCTTGCTGGGTGGTAAAAATAATTTCTAGTAAACTATACTGAATAAATAAATGAAAAGTAACTTTTAGTGTAGGTTGAATAACAACAATGCAGAAAATAACTCGCCAAATATTAAGGAGTCAGTTTTCAAGCAATTAATACATTTGTAGTCATCTTGACAAATGTAGAAGGCAGTATGTTTTGTTAAGTACCATGGAGTCGGTTCTGATTCATAGTGACCCTGTACAGAGTTTCTGAGGCTGTCAGTCTTTACGGGAACAGAATGCCTCATCTTTCTCCACGGAACCACTGGTAGTTTCGAACTGCTGACCTTGAGGTTGGCAGCCTGACTCATAACCACTACACTACAAGAGCTCCTTAGCTTACGGATAAGAGGCCAAAATAACAAATATTAGGTAGCTGACTGGTTAAATACAGGTTCTAAGATTTCTTGTGTGGTCTTGGTTCAGTTACTTATTCTCCAATGATAAAAGCTGCTAATAATTATTGATATTTTAAAACAAGTCACTGGATGCCTGAGATGGAGGCAGAGAAGATGACGTGGAGAGATGGTACAGCAGGGGACTCTAGACCCAGAGAGGGAGAGGGGCTGTGTGCTGATGACCGCCGGGCAGGCTTGTAGTGTATACCCTTTGGTTGGTTGATGATGCATGGAGGGGACTATAACCATGGCAATGAAACTACATAGGATAGGATGGATATAAAACTAATGTTCTCCCATGTAAACTATCACATAATTCATAATAAAACATTTTTTTAAAAACCCAAGAAACTCATTAGGTACTGGGTTAAGCGCAGCACTGTACTGAAATGATCTTACAAGCAAATCTTATGAAATTATCTCAAAAAGATTGATTAAAGAGTCAAAAACTAGATACTATTATCATTCCCATCTCAAAAATCTCAAAAACGCAGAGCAGTATTATTTCACATAAATGGATCATGCCTGCCTATCTGAAATAACCAGAATAGACAAATGTATAGAGACGGAAGTTTATTCATGGTTATCAAGGGAGGCTGTGGGGGAGAACGGAGAATCATGGCACTATTGTGTTCTTGTTAAGCGTGAGAAAAAAAATTGGAAACAGCGCACGGCAGTGGGCGGCTCCACAACATGGTGAAGGTAAGTAATGTCACAGACACAAAAATGGCTGCAATGACAAGTGTTCTATTATGTATGAACTCACCAAAGTAAGTCCTGCTCCCCAAAAATAGTTTGTCCAAGGTTGTTCAGCTAATAAATACTGCAGCCAGAAATGATTCCTGACCAGATACACTCCAGAGCTTCTGGAAAGGCCTTTGTTGTTGTTGTTATGTGCTGTGGAGTCGGCTCCGACTCATAGTGACCCTGTACAGGGTTTCTGAGGCTGTAAATCTTTACCGGAGCAGAAAGTCTCATCTTTCTCCGCGGAACAGCTGGTTGTTTCGAACTGCTGACCCCAAGAGGCTCGTAGCCCGATTTGTAACCACTACGCTACCAGAGCTCCTTTGAAAGGTTTTTACATCTCACTAATCCAACCAAGAAACATCTAATCCCCAAAGAAGTTATTTCTTACTGTTTTTCATTGTCGCCCTGAATTTCCTCATTTATGAAACAAGCACCAATATTTAGAATTGGTATAAAAAACAAAACAGACTGCCGTGATACCTGACGTCATTATTCAACATTTTAAATTGCCACTTCAGAGATGAAGGGTGAAAATTCAAATCCAGAAAACTCACCTCGCATGGCCAAGGTGAGCATGATCATATACAGTGGGCCCACAGCTGTACCTGGGAATAAAGATAAAATCCATCATGTAAGACACCTGCAAGAGAGAACGCTACATTCCCAGTTTCGTTGACCATAGAATCATCTTTTTTTTTTTTTTAAAGTGTTTACTTTGGGAGCCGACTCGATGGCATTTAAAAACTTTTGGCAAATGCGTAACTTGGGTTCCATTGTTTTCATGAATCACTGAAGTTGTACAGAAAACCCATACGTTCACTTGAAACTCAATGCCTTAAACGGATACACTGCATTTTATGAATGAATGCTAGTCATCTAAGAAATTAGCCTCTTTCACCAACAGAAAGTCTACACCACCCAAAACTGTTACATTTACAGTTCTTTCCCCTCTCTGGCTCCACCACCACACCTGTGAGTCCACCCAAGAATTGTCCCAAACCCCACAAAGGTGTCAAAACGCTACCAGGACACGGCATCCGCGTTGGCCACTATTAAAGGGTCTTTCCGTCTGGTTAAACTGTTGTAGACCTTGACGCCCGTGTCATGGCCCGTAGGTTGCAGCCAATCTTGCCCTCGTCCCACCGACACAGGTCGGCCTAGGGCCTGCCCCGGCTCTCCCGATCTGCGGCTCAGCGCAGCGGGGAAGAGCTGAAGACAGTGGCGGCCGAATGGCAGCCAGCGATCGGTGGGCGGCAGGCGGGCCCCGTGCGTCCGCAGCATGATCCGCAGGCCTGTGAGAGCTGCAGAGACCAGACCTTGGGAGCTAGTGGCCGCCAAGGCTACAAGCACCACCCCGAGGCGCAGACGCACCGCCCGCCCTGCGATGGCCCCGCCCCAGAGACCACAACCCCCCGAGCCACGCCCCGACCCCGCCTACTCCCGGAAGAAGCCTCAGGAAACCGCGATCAATCTAGGCGCTGGGCATCCTGCGTGTGAGCTACTCCTGCTCTCGCAGTCCTGTAGTGATCCGACGCGGGAGGTAAAGGGCGGGCCGCAGCGGAAGACTGCACGTGAGCCTGAGCACTTCGGCCAGGACTGTGGGACTAACGTCACGGATACCCTCCTCCCGGAGGCTGCAGGAAGAGGCGAGATTCGCGGCGGGAGCTGCGCGTCCCTTCAAAGCTAATTAGGCTTTCTCGTAATAGGCGCAGGTCGTAGCTAGGCATCTGTTGGACGCAGTGCAAACCAAATCAATCCCTCCTCTCTGGCTGGATGGGGAACCGAGAGGACATCGCGAGGGTGGCGTTGTTCGTATTGCCCCAGTCTAGAAAAGATTTTACAGTATTGGGCACCAGCCGCCTCACCTCGGAGGTCCGTGAAATTGAGTGAAGTATATTTGCAATCCCAACACACACACACACATTACCCTTTCCAAGATCTCGGAATGAAAGGCCAAAGATAACAAAGCTGCACATTCATGATACATATGTAGCAGGAAATTGACACTTTTTATTTAAAGGTTAAAAGTTCTACTAGCACATCTCTTGAGAACAACAAAATTCTGAACTGTGGTTTAAATGGGTCTTTTGAATAGGTACTTGTAGTTATTTATAAATTGGTGACCTGCAAACGAGTGTTTTTTGTTTTAAATCTCTCTTGGTTTTGCAGTCTTTAAAACGTCCTCAGTTTCAATTTTTAGTATTTCGGGTGCCCTGGTTAAAGGGAAATGCTAAAGTAAAGACAAATATATTTCCAGAGTCCAAAACCCGATTTCCCAGTGATGTAGCGTCCATTCTGGCTCAGAGCGATCCTCTAGAGAGAGTAGAACTGCCCGTCCCACTGTCCTGTTGGGTTTCCAACGCTACAATCTGTAAGGACGCAGACTGTCCCATCATGCCCTGAGGAGAAACTAGTGGGCTCCAACTGCCAACCTTTAGGTCGGCTGCCAAGCACTTAACCATTGCGCCACAAGTTCTCCTTATTCTTCTACTACTTACCCCACTCACTCCCAAAGAAATATTTTCAAGATCGCTGGAGCCCAACTTTACAATTGATTCAAATTTAAGTCTGGAATAAACTATTATTTTAATTATTAAGTAGTTCTTGCTGTTAAGTGCCTTCGAGTCGTTTCCGACTCACAGCGACCAGGTATAGGGTTTTCAAGGAGCGCCTGGTGACCTTGAACCGCCGACCTTGCAGTTCAGCACATTAACCCACAGCACCGTACTGTTTTATTATTAAGCACTATGGAGTCAGTTACAACTCACAGGGACCCTGCATAGGGTTTCTGAGAAATAGCTGATGGGTTTGAACTGCAGACCTAGCCCTTAGCAGTCCAGTGCTTATCCTACAGTACCACACCAGGGCTCCAGATGTAAACTATGTTGTTTTTAAGTGCCATCAAGTTGATTCACACTAATAGTGACCCTGTATAGGGTTTTCCAAGAGTAGCTGGTGGGTGTGAACCACCAACCTTGTGGTTAGGAGTCCAGTGCTTATCCTATAGTGCCACACCAGAACTCTGATGTAAACTCTAGTCTAAAGTAAATGGTAAGATACTGAAAAATCTTATGTTCAAATTTAGGAGACCCCTACATTAATGCTAACCACATGAGCTCCCTGAGGACTATAAATTCTATTCCAGTATTTTTACTTCCTCTCTGTCTGTGTAGTATTTACTGATCTGGATGCTATTTTGTAATGGCTCTTGTTTGTAGTAGTACTATGTTTATGTTTTTTCTCTCTCACCCAGTACTTTAGATTATATATACTCCTTTTGAACTCCCTTACTACATCCAACAATAAATTCAGAAAAAGGCTTTTTGGATGTTGTTGGATTCGTCTCTCACAGAATCCACCTATTGTACAGGGGGGAGGGAATTTGGTCAGTCAAATGCCTAATGGTGAAAGCTCTGATCCAGCTACTGGATGTGCTGATAAATGAGAATGAACAAAAACTTGACTGCAATCTGTAAGAACATGAGAAATGCAAGGAAAAAGCCAGAATAGATGTTTTGAAAACTGAATAAAAATAGAAGTTTTGTGACAAGACCAAGTCCTGCACATAAATCTGGGTAGTTGGCATATTCGAATTGGCCGTAGAAAATCATGACGTTTAAATTAACAATGATATCATTTGTCTTCAGTAAACTAATCATGTAATGTGTTCAGCCTTTAACAGGCAGAAATTCTACACTTCCTTAAGGGCCTTTTAGAATATCCAAAATAAACTATAGATATAACACATTTACTGATGGTTAAAATGAATTCATTTTACAGTTGGAGTAAAGGTGACAGGAGAGGGGAGAGTGGAAAAAAATACCAAAGCTTCAAAACATTTCTAGTAGAATAAATAAATATTGTCTTGGGCTAGGTTCTTTAGAGAAACAACAAAATAAACAAAAAAAAATATATAACAATAAAAGTGACTGAGAAGATTTATTAGTACATTTGAACAAAAAGAGTATTTTGCTAATTTGAAGAGATCTAATTAGTGTGGCGCTGTGGGTTCATGTGCCAGACTGTAAAGTCATTTGAACTGCAAGGTTGGTGGTTCAAGCTCACCAGCTGCTCCTCGGAAATTCTATACAGGGTCGCTGTGGGTCAGAACCAACTCGATGGCCCTTAACAACAACAGCAAATCCCCAACCTGGTGTGGTGCTGTGGGCTAATGCTCCAGACTACAAAGCCATGTGAACTGCAAGGTTGGTGGTTCAAACTCACCAGCAACTCCTTGGAAACCCTATACAGGGTTGCTATGGGTTGGAATCGACTTCATGGCACTCAACAATTCCCAACCTAAGGATCCCTGGTCACATGGTGGATTATGAGCTAGACTGCTAAGTGCAAGATCAGCAGTTTGAATCTACCAGCTGCCCTGCAGGAGAAAGAAGAGGCTTTCTGCTCCCGTAGAGATTTACAGCCTCGGAAACCCTGTACAGGGTCGCTGGGAGGAGTCGGAACTGACTTGGTGGAACACAACCACCACTACCAACCCCCAACCTACGATTAACTAAGGAAATGTATGGAAATATGTTGTTGTTTGTTACTGTGAGGTCCATTTTCCACTCAGAGAATCTACTTTTGAGCAAAGTAGAACTTTTCTGCAGGGCTTTCAAGGCTGTAACCATTGAGAAACACATCTCCAGGTCTGTCTCCAGAGACACCTCTAGGTGGGTTTGAACAGACAGCTTTTCCGTTTATAGCTGAGCTCTTATCCATCTGTATCACCCAGGGACTCAGTGAAGGAAAATCAATGGTTGTAAAATGTTACTAATGCCATTTGTTACTTCTTAACTACTGTTGTTGTTGTTGTTGTTGTTGTTGTTGTGAAGTGCTGTCGAGTAGGTTCCAACCCTTAGCAACCCTGTATAGGGTTTCCAAGGAATAGCTGGTGAGCTTGAACTGTCGACCTTGTTCAAACGGCTTTGCAGTCTGGCTCATTAACCAACAGCGCCACAACATCGAAAATGTAATTCTAAGTATTATATTTCCTTTTTAAAGTAAAAATATGTAAATTCAATGTAGAAATGGCCGCATATTGTTTAGAATATTTAAACTTTGAGATGAATGTGTTGTCAGTTATTTATGTATTATATATTCAAACTGGACTGAATAACATCATGATAATCAGAGAAAAGATTGAATTTGTCAAAGGTTTCATTTTGCTTGGATCCATCATCAGAGCTCAATGAAACAGCAGTCAAGAAATCAAAAGACATTTGCATGAAACAAATTTGCTGCAAAAGACCTCTTTAAACTGTTAGAGAGCAAAGAAATTGCTTTGAGAGCCTGACCTAAGCCATAGTACTTTCAGTGACCTCAGATGCACGCAAGAGTGCTAGCGGCACTGTAGTATTAGAACTGGACTGCTAACCACAAGGTCGGTGGTTCAGGCCTCCTAGTAGCTGCTCTGGAGAAAGATGAGGGTTTTTGCTCTCATGAAGATTTATAGTCTCAGAAACTGAAACAGGGTCACTACGATGACAACATACAACAACGAACATATGCATATGACAGGTGCACGTTGAATAATGAAGACCAGAGAAGAATTGATGCATCTGAATTATGGTGGAGAAAAATATTGAAAGTTATCACGGTTCCCAGAAAAATAAACAAATCTGTCTTGGAAGAAGTACAGCTAGAATGCTCCTTAGAAGTGCGGATGGCAAGGCTTGGTCTCTTGTACTTTGGACACGTTGTCTGGAAGGATTAGTTCCTGGAGAAGGAAAAATGGAGGGTCAGTGAAAAAGAGGAAGACCCCCCCAATGAGATGGACAGACACAATGGTAGCAGCAAGGAGCTCAAACATAACAACAGTTGTGGAGATGGTACAGGACTGAGCAGAATTTCATTCTGTTGTGAACAGGGCCACTATGCACCGGAACCAAGTCAATGCCTCCCAACAACATGCATCTCGTGTATTTTACTCCTATAGGTTTGAGACTATCTCAAGTTAAACTAATACAGTTTTAGAAGTTTAAACATCTTGTTTTGCAACACATTTCAAAGAGCAAAACTAAAACAATGAAGATTCTCTAATGTACAAGGGGCATCAAAAATGCATGGAAAAAAACCTATTATCTTTTAATTCCATTTTCCCATGTACTTTTTGAAGCCCCTCATATCTTCAAAATGTATGATCACAGTTAATCAGGTTTTTTCTATTGGTCTTCTAATCTTATTCAACAAACGGTGGCATAACTATTTGTATTTTGTTTATACATATGATGAAATATGAACCATAATGTTGGCAGTTCAAACCCACTAGCTGTTCTTAT